TCTACACCAAACCAAGCTTCTGCCGCCCTGGCGTCCTCTTCCACAACATCTTCATCCCGCTTTCCTCCTCTAAATAGAAAATGTATGACAGAGGAGACTCATCCACGACCTCCGACACTAAACTCTCCTCCTCTTGCACGTTTCCTCTGTCCATAGCGTTCCTTGACAGTGTTGTTGCTAAGTAACCAATTTAATGCTACTTGGTCCCAATGGAATTTCCCATTGGGAATCTACTAGCACTAAGATGCTAACTGGTTAGCAAGATGCCTCCAACAACTCGGTCACAACTAAACTTGCTTGCAAACTTTACACCACAACAATCCCGCCCCCTTGATAATCGATCAATCACATTTACTTTATTCACTCGTGTAAAGTCCTGCACCACTCGGGAGAATTCAGAAATGCAACAGTTGGAACAGCCGCTTCCCTATGACTTTAAAGAGTTCATAAGGATTTCTTTGCTTAACTTTTTTCAAACAGAAAAGAAAAACGCTTATTCATTAAAAGAGCATCTTTTGAGCAGAGGTTCCCAAAGCGGGGGTCAGGACCCCCAGGGGGGTCATGAGACAGTAAGTCAGGGGTCACAAGATGGTTTTCATTATCACCTTGATGGGATCCTTGACGTATATAGAGGGACAAAATATACAATGAATTATATAATTGTAATTGTTCCATAAAATAAGTAGATGTAACGCCTATTTATTAATCTAAACCGTGATTTGAATATTAAAGGATCATGCAATTTGAAAAATAATTATTTAACAATGACAAATTAAAAAATTAAAAATCATTTAAATACATAAATGTTTATGAAATGAATATAATTAATTCACTACATATGTAGGACTAAATATAAAGTGGATGAGTTAAGTAAATTTTAATTTTTAGGGAGTCTCTCCAGTCTGTAGATTCTATTTTTTGGGATCACAGGTTGAAATGTTTAGGAACCCCTGATTTAGTGGATGCAGTTAAAATACATGAAACACAACATCAGAAGAAAAAAACTAACAAAATATAAAAAAAAACAAAGAAAAGAGTGTGAGAAGAAGCTCCTAAATATTAGATCAGTCCATGAACATTAAGAAAGAGCCCCTCTGTAAGTCCTCTGGGCCTGATGTTCTGATCCAGCTGGGATATTCAGCACAGTCTGTAACGGCTCTACTTTCCAGGAAATGGAGACCGACAAAAACGAAGAGGAGGAGAAGAAGAAGAAAAAAGGTGAAAGATTTTGTACGACTTTTTTTGGATGAATATAATATTTTAGAATGGGGGAAACTAAATGTTCTTTCCGCCAATCAGCTCCAAAATGTGGCTTCATCAAAGGAAATGAGAAGATTACGCTGCTTCTGGAAAGAGTAAAGCCAGAGATCGTGGATCTCAGAGAAACCATCCTGGGCGTAAGTTGATTATAATAATCAGTGGTTGGCGTTACAATAATGCTGTAATTACTTGCAGATGATCTCTGTATTCTGTACATGGGAAGCCAGTGACTATTGACTGATGTTCCCTTTGGCTGTGTGCAGGTTTCATGCTGGATTCAGCACCTCATTCCCAAAATAGAGGACGGAAATGACTTTGGAGTGGCGATACAGGTATGACTGCGTTTCTTCACATGTATTTAATAAATGTCCAACAATGCTCTGATGTTTTATGCTATTTTTCTTATTTTGTGGTAAACCTCCTCATCCAACAGGAGAAAATCTTGGAGCGAATCGCTGCTGTTAAAACCAAAGTTGAAGGTTTTCAGACCAACATCAACAAGTGAGTCCAGGATCATTTTTTTCTGAAGCATTCTGGCTGATTTTGTGTCAGTTTTTGTGGTTTTGTAGGATTCATATCCCCCAGAGCTCAGCTGTGGTCATTTCTGTTCAAACAGGTATTTTTCAGAGAGGGGTGATGCCGTCGCCAAAGCCTCCAAAGATACTCATGTGGTAAGAACCCGATTCATTCCTTTTGGATAGATCCAGGGGGAACGGAGGTTGGCTAGTCATCATTGTGCTATAACCGTCGCTTTTTTTCCTACCTTCAGATGGACTACCGCTCACTCGTCCACGAGAAGGACACGGCCATCTTCTCAGAGATCAGAGTGATCGTCCTGGACATCCGTGGATTCTATGTAAGTCCTGCTGGAGGCCTTGCTAAACTGTTAAGCTAAAAGTTTATTTACTAATTTAACACATTTCAGTAGAAATGCGATTAAAAATGCTGGACATGAAGAAAACAAATCAGGAAAACACTGAGAAATGAAGATTCAAGTGACATAGAAGGAGAGGAAATAAATTCAAACTGAGTATAGAAGCAAAAAAAAACAATAACAATATAAAATGATGAAATTATCATAAAAAAAGAACAATAAAAAGACCAAGTTTGTTTATGTAATCATTTAATTGTTAATGCAAACTAAGTGATTTTGGAGCCACACACCCACGCATGTTTGTTTTGCTATATGTAGTGAGGACCAAAGGCGTTCACTCCCATCGACTTCCATTGATTTTCAATCATTTTCAACCCCTAAAACTAACCCCAAACCTAATACATACCTCACCCTAAACCAACACAGACCTTAGCCCTAACCCTAACCATTAGCAAAATACCTGAGGACCAGCAAAATGTCCTCGCTTTACAGCAACTGGTCCTCATTGTGATAGTGAGATTGGAAAAATCCTCCTCACTCTGATGCCTAGACAGGTACACACACACCCACACAATTAAAAAACAAATGAAACGTTTTATTGAACACACACAAAAGCTACTTTCCAAACCCTTTATGTCGCAGGCAGGACTTCATGCTCCTTGTTTTACACACATAGCCTCTCTTTATACTTGTGTGCAGGTCTGATTCTCTGAGCTCATGTTAGCTGCCTCCTAAGAATGTACCACTTCCTTTCTGGTTGTGTCCTGCAACGTTAGCAAAGTATCGTCAGGCTAATCTCTGAAGGGGGAGGTTGTATGAATTTAGAATTCAGAGAAGCTTTATTTAAAACAAACTATTTTCTATTCACCTATTGAAGCTTCTATGTGTGCAGATTCAACACAGCGAGCTCGCCAATATTTCTCTGTCCTCTCTTGCTTTTAATGCTCCTGTAGATTCTTTTCTCCTGGTGTTTTTCTCTAAGCTCACTTAGAGAGCGGAACCAACCTGAGAAAGTAAACTGCTTGTAATTGGCTACTTTTCAGCATGTCCCGCCTCTTTGTACAGCACTGTTTTTCTTGCTATTTGCAGCTATTAACATTAGCAAAGTATCTTTCCTTGCCCAGTCTGTACCATCAGCTCATTTACACATGTGCAAGCAGATGTTCATTCATAATGAATGTAATTATGCTACTAAAAGTACTCATTTCTATCCTTAAATTGTTCTCCATGAGCATGCGTGGGTTCTCTCCAGGTACTCCGGCTTTTTCTCACAGGCCAAAAACATGACTGTTAGGTTCATTGGCTTCTCTGAATTTTCCTTGCGTGGTTGTTTGTCCCGTTTTTCTCCGTGTTGCCTTGTGATGGACTGGCGACCTGTCCAGGATGGACCCCTCCTCTCGACCTCAGATAGCTGGAGGTGGGCACCAGCCCCCCTCATGACCCTTCTTGGGATAAGCGGGATGGAAAATGGATGGATGGACTTTTCTGGAATAATTGGATCCTTTTCACATTCTCTAAACTGCTTCATCGGACATCCTCAGCGCAGTCTGGAAAAATCCAACCTGTATATTTGTATTTTAGTTATTTCTTTCTGTAGATTACGCACTATATAACACAAGGTTAAAACAACAGGCAAAAATAAAACTCATAAAGACTAGATTAATGTATAAATCCAAAGCCGTAAAAGTTAGCTCTCGGTGTAACGTTGGATCCAGTCTCTAGGACAGAAGAGTGATAAAACAGGATTTAAACACATTTATTTTCTCAGAATAAATTAACCATTGACAATAAAGTAGTTTAGTACGCTTATTATTTTTAAGGTGAGAAAAACTTAAAATTGAGGGCGACCCGGATGTATATCTGGTTGTGCACGTGCAAATTAGCTGATGGTACGGATATGCTAGTGACAACAACTACAGACTAATCGCTGAAGAGAGAGGTTGCATCAATTCAGTCCATAAATACTGATATATCTATATTTATATATATATATAAACATAGAGTAGCTGATGGTGACTTCATATAATTATGAACAGATCTAACTTTGTTGGAATGCAAAATGGTTCCAATTGTAGATATAAAATAAAATTTAAATATGGTCCATCAAACGATTGGTATTTTTAATTTAGCCCTGGGAGTATGCAGCTCTGAGACATGATCAACAATGGTTGTAGTCGTGTTTTAGCCTCAGGAAGAATCAGCTGTGGATGTTTTTCCTGGCAAGCAGCATAAACAGGGTGAGCAGGTTGTGGATGGGAGGGTTTAGTATCACATTAATCTGTGCAGACACGTCAGCTCTGCTCTTTAATTCTGGGCTTTCAATCAGGCCAATAGGGCAGTATTACCAAGACGGTAACAGAAATACATAGAATTAAATATAGGAATTAGGAATTAAATATAATAATACAGATTTTCTTTTTTTTTAACCTGATGATCTAAATCATAGAGTTCAAAACCTGTTTTTAAAGCCTGTTTATCCAGTAAATCAGTAACTTTATATGCAGCTTATAAGAGGAACACAGTGAACAAACGCATTCCTTTAGCTCAATAAGCTTGAGACTTTTCTGTAAATCAGTCGTTATTTTTAAATCCATTTAATCAGACTTTTGGGTCATTTTGATTTATTAACCCATATTTCTCCAGAATATTAAAGTGGATAAAGAATGCAGGAGTTTAATAAGACAATTTCTTCAAAGTAGAGACCTGAGAGATTCTTGAAAAACACAATCTTACAGAAACTATAATATTATCTGAAAATATAACTTATATTGATCCTTTATTCAGGAGTTTTTATGTCAGGTGATTTTTGTTCATTTAGTTGTCTTTTTTTTTTTTGTAAATTTTTATTAACATGCATGAAGTTTATCTGATTTCCACTAGAAAAGAAGGTAAACAGGGACAGAGCAAAGAGGTGAAAGCAATAATATCTAATCACTTCTTAGTATTTAATCAAAAAACCCAACCGGGAAGTCGTCTTTTACGCATCAGAGGACATTCTTACAATAAACGCTGGTCTAAATGGCTGACATACAAGAATAAGGAAGCATAATCAAGTTTAATATATGGTATTATTTTACCTTTTCTTTTTTTTTTTTTTACTTATCTATGCATCAGTGCCCCAAGTTCTGTGTGTGTTGCATTTTTCATTCTAATAAAAACGTTAAAGAAAAGAAAAAAAATCTAATAGAGAAATTTAATGTCAGGATAAAGTAGTCATGGAAAAGATGGTTGATTACTAATCTTCCAACAGAATAGGAATCAAACAAAGAGCATGTTTTATAAATCGAAATGTGGGGAAAAAATTTTACTCAGAAATGAATTTGCCATTTCACTTTTTTTTTTTTTTTAACTCCAGTTCTTTTTTTTCTAAGATTTTTACCAGATCTTATTTGAAAATTTTCAAAATAGTTTTATATTTTCATGTTTTTTAAGTCTCTTATTCAGATTGTTTTATAAATATTATTTTACAGATTCATTTTTTTTTATTAAAGTTAAATAAAAAAAATTATAGGATATGAAAAATGAATCAAGAAAAATTTAATAATTCAAGAAAACAAAACCTTTTTTTAATTAGAACTTTTTCCAAATTTCATTTCTGGATTCCATATTTTTTTTTTATTTCTACTAACAAATGTTTTGCTGTTAGTAACAATATTTGGGATGAAATTGACTCCATAGTTGCACCATGACAACCCCTCCATGTTTTTTCTCTCCAGGCTGAACTGTATGACATCATCACTAAGAACCTGGAGAAGGTGACCAATCCTAAAGGAGAGGAGAAGCCGTCGATGTACTGAAGCTGAATTCAATCAATCAATCAATCCTGCTGAACCATTTAACCCAGTCTGATAAAAAGTTCTTAATTTTCCTCTACAGTCCATAAAAGTAAATAAACTGGGTGTTTGTTTAATGACTTCCTTTTGATGCAACACTTCATTTTTGATCCAACATTTGCACTAAATTGCACTTGTCAATAAATAAAGGACTTTTTTTTTTCAAACTGTGGAAAATTATCTTTATTTGTAAATTAAAACACATTTCAGCATGTTTGAATGGGAAAAAAAAAATAAAATCTTAACTAAAAGGAATTTCCTGACACAAAGACGCAGGAACAAGGACATCAATGAGAGAACAGTACAAACTTAGGAGCAATCAGGGTTTACACCTCGGGTCCTTCTCCACCAGGGATGAGCTGCAGAGGAGGAAACGTTTCAGGGTGAAATATTCTGACAGCTGGAACTGAGCAGGAGAGAAGAAATAAAACAAGATTTCCTACCATGGTGATGTTATTTCCATTTAGAAGGATCTGATCCAGTTTGGTTATCCTTCTTCCCTCTGGGGTGATCTCACTGCACACAGACAAGAAGTCCTGTGGGTTAGAAAACTGAACAGATGGGTAAACAAATAGGAGAATAAAAAGATAACTTACAACTCTGTCACGTCCTCCAGAACCATGTCTGCAAGTTTAGTAAAGGAGCAGAACAGGGAAGGTTTACCTAAACTAGAGTGACAGTGTACAGCCCTGACAGTTTGGTACGCATACGTTAAAGACAAAGAGCTTTATCTGGAAGAACAGACGCCTTTCAGAAAGGATACTGACAAAATCATCAAAGCCCAGCAGCGTGCCGACTATTTCTTTGTCGGTTTTCATCACTATGTGTATCCTGGAGCCGATACATTTGTCCACGAGCTCTGCAAAAATAAAGACAAGGTCAATTTGCTGGAATGTCATTTAAGTCCATTTTTAATTCTGACAATTTCCTCTAAACCCCGACAGACTGACCCATTCTTGTGTTTCAGATGTTTTCCCTTCTGCTTTCTGAGAACAAACTATTGCCTCACAACTATAGCTTCAAGGTTCAGATCCTTGAGTTACTTTTTCCAGATAATCTACAGCTCATCACCAAAGCGTTCCTGGATCATTGGGAGATAATCCAATCATGTTTCCACTAGACTTAGATTTTATTTTGTCATTTTTTACACACAAGTGTAAACAAAAAGAAATTCCGTTAAGTACAGCTATCTTGACTATTTCATTTTTTAAAGTGCAGCCTTGATAAAGGAAAGCAGCAGTGATAAAAACACTGTGATGAAAGAAAAAAAACACTGGTGAAAAAAAGTGACGTAAACATATGACTGTAGTTACAGTTCCAAAAGTCAGGGTTTTTTTCCCCCAAAAAACAACAACACAACCCTTTGAACCTGTTTAAAATAATAAAAATAAACATTTTATTTGCCATTATATTCATGGATAAAGCATATTGACAGACACATTTTCGTTTATGATCTTAAAAGCAAAAATGTTTATGCATTTTATTTTTTTACATTCTTGGTATAATTCCTGCTCTAAGTGTGTCGCTCCTTCAGCTACAGGCCTGTTTTAGAGTCTCTACACTCCATTTAAATATTAATTTATTACTAAATTAGTTGATTAGTTTAATAATTGATTAATCATGATTAATTTGATTAATAAAAATAAACATTTTGAACGCCATTATATGGCTTTTATTGATGGATATGCATGTATGACTTACATAAATGATCCATCTCCTATACGAATAAATTCAGTAAGTTTCCACATAATGGGAACTAGAGCTGCATCTAATCATTTTGCAAAGCGATTAATGTGTTGATTATTTCTTTCAATAATTCAATTAATAACTGGATAGCAAAGATTCCTTAAAGAAGAGTTTTTATGAATTTAAAGCAGAAAAAACTCAAACTTTTCTACTTGAGGAGTTCTGAATAGAGCATTTTGAAAGACACTTTTTTTTTCCAACCCTAAAAGCAAAAATGTTTATGCATTTTTTAAAACCTTCTTGGTATTATTACTGCTCTAAGTGAGTTGCTCTTTCAGCTATAGGTCTGTTTATGCGTCTCTACATTCCATTTAAATATTGATTATTAAATTATTTGATGATTATTTCAATAATTGATTAATCAAGATTAGTTTGATTAATTCTTTCAGCCCTAATGGGAACCCTGTAGGACTTCAACATTTCCTAAGAAAATTGATTTCTAAAGATATATTAATCAATCTTGGAGAGGGGAACAGAACCCTTACCTGTTTATCCAGGCCAACAATTCCCTCTAATGACCCCCTTTCAGAGGCATAGACAGGTATCGGGTATTAAACGCTAACAAAGAACCCAAACGACCCCCATTCCTAAGGGGCGGACCCGTTCGTTTGGCTCAATTTGGATGTTTTCTAAGCAAAAACAAGGCTTTATTTTGGTCCACTCTATAAAGCCTCGAACTCAACACTATTTCTGACATTTTGAATAGAAAAATCTTCCCGGATTGGAAGCAAAACATCTTCAAACTTGGAAACAAAATCCAGATGATTGATTTTTTTTTCTACTTTTTTGGAATCTTCCAAGAAGATTTAGCAAAAAAAAAAAAAAACACTGGTTATGGGCTGCCCACCCCTCCACTGAAGTCCAGTCTGTCCATCAGTTTTTAGAATAGAGGAGGATCACAAACACTGCTGCCATGGTAGAAGTGAGCTCTGCACTGGTGGCAACATGATTTGGTAGATTATTGGACCCTCATTAATCACTGAAGCTGTCCTCTTTATTTCTTATGGGATTTCTGCAAATGGTTTGTACTTATGTAGAAACTTTAAACAATATGACTTAAAAGTACAGTTGCTCTTTTCTACCAAACACCTTGTTAATTAGTTTCCTGGTGTATTTCAATAATAAATGTAGTCCACAGACGGGTTTGCACTTTACATAAATATTACTGCATTCGTTTAAAAGATAAAGAAAATATGAAAAAAGGGAACGCATACCAAACCCTAGATGTTTTTTCTTCTACCGGTAAATTAAATTTCTATTTAAGTAATTGTGTGTCTTAAATGGCTCTGTTCTCTCTAGTCACATCCTCCTGAACGTCTAAAACAGGGAGCTAGTTGATATCTGGGTCCTTAAAGAAAATAAACTTATAAATCTCTACTTCCAACCAGAATTCACGCCTGGAATCAAATAAAACCGAAACGAAGCGTTTTACCAACCGAGTGGAAGCAGTTGTGAAGGGTTGGTTGCTGGTGTAGCCGCCATCTTGAATCGAAAGAAGGCAGAAGGAATTGACAGAAGATATAAATTCGCATCAGGCAAAAGCAATCGAAAAACCCAAATCTATTTTATACGATTTTACATATATATATAAATTCGCTTTGGCTATTAAATATCTTTAGGGGTTTAATACAAAAAGTTGTACAAAATTGTATCACTGTTTATTTTAACTGTGTTCTTTTTTTTTTTTTTTACTATTAAATAAATGTCTTTGAATTGGGTGATCCTACCTATCTCAACCGCAAGATGGCGCTGATCGTAACGTTTGATGAATGACGACATTTTTTTGTGTGACTAAGAAAAGATGTCAGTAAGTCAAGAGAGTTATCTGCCCTTTCAGGGTGACAAAAAGATGGTTGGCTCAGTCGGAGGAGAGGGGACTATGCAGAAAAACTGAACTTGTCTCAATCTAAATAGAATGGACTTTATTTTTATTTACATAAAGATATTGGTACACACGTGAATTTTAATTCCTACATTATTTCATATCCAGAAAGAGAAAAATAACATCAACATCGAAGCAACAATAATTAAATCTTTAACATTAGTTAAAACAATGTAGATTATATTAATATTAATTATTTAAAAACAAACAAACAAAAAAATAACTCAATGTTTTTTAATAAAAGGGTGAAATTCCAGTTGGATGCCTTCAAACTAGTATGACATGATTTTGAGTACAGTATGGTTTTAAATTGCTGCCAAAAATTAGATAAGCGTATGTTTCTGTTATTAAATGCGCGGTTATGACTAATAATCGCACTATTGTGACTGCTTAGTACGCATTTCTAATCAATCTGAGTAAATTTATTAGCGATATGACTGAAGTCTGTGTTAGTGAAGTGTACCAATTTTTAAAACAGAACCCAACCTTTAGTTTATTTTCTTTCCAATATGTATCAATTTATTTATTTTTAAATTTAACACTTATCAATTACAAAAAAAGCTTCTTAAATGTTATCTATTGTGCAATTTATATTAATTAGCGTGTTTCGTGCAGGTACCTTAGTGAGCATGAAGGCTTATGAACTAAATTATTGGATTAATAAACTTTTCATATTTGCAGAATAAAATAAAACTGTTAAGTAAAAAAATGCCCTTTGACCCCCGTGGTGAACCAATCAATTTATCCCTTTACCTCACACTTCACCGCCATTTAGCTGTGCTCCTCTAACGCTTTTTCATTAGTTCCTCGGTGATTAATACTGTTTCTTTTTGCATTTCTGTAATAATAATCTTTATAAATCAGTATCAACAATTTCTGATTTTACTAGAAATTAACTATGTAGCTAAAAAGCCACACTTATAATACAGACATCTTTAAATATTGATTTTGGAAAATGTATATCAGTTAAAAGGCTATATTTAGCTACAAATCATCAGGATATTAAGATATAATTTAAAAGCAACATGCTTTTAAACAAATTTGATAGTATTTTTAAGGTTAAAGCTAACGTTCGTTAAAGCCTCGGGGAAGCAGTTTGCGACAAAGCGAAGCCGGAAGTGCGCAGCAGGGAATTCTCTCGCTCAATCCCGCCGTATTCGGGCCAGTCCAGGTTTGTGGCTCTTTCTACCGTTTGCTGCTTGTGTGTGATAGATTTGGTGCAAAAAAATCAGCTCTGCCCGCTGTTTACATCGGACTCCCGGAGGGAAACCGAAAGCATACTGCCAGAAGTGATCTCGGACGGTTGAAATGGAGTCTCAGGGCAGAGACGAAGTTAAGGGACCAGTGCTGCACATCGTGGTGGTTGGATTTCACCACAAGAAGGGCTGTCAGGTAGCTGCTCCAAACCTCCTGCTGCTTGCTAACTGCTAACTACCTGTCACTATCTGGCTATTTCACACTAAATATAGTGGTGATTTCACTTACAGTTGATCAGAGATAATCAGAGACAAAGATCCTTGTTAAAATTGTTGATAATAAGCATGAGTATTGAGTCATTTATCCTTGAGGAGATGAATAATCGACTGTTTGCTTTAGGATCTGTTCCTTGTATAGATTGTGTTCTCTCTCCAGCTCACTTGTTTTTACAGTTCAGTATTTCCAGCTGATCCCAGATCCGGTTTACCACACCAGATCAATTAAACAAAGGTGATCGATTAGCTAAGTTATCTGCTGCCTAGTCTGTTTTTGGTTTAAATTTGTTAATCCTTCTGCACAGATATAGAAACTGACACATTTCCTGAAAAACAGGTTGGCTTGTTTTCATTTATCTGATCTGTTAAAGTAAATATGTTTTCCTAAATAAAAAAACATGGTATTTAGAAGTTGTTGATTTAGTGGTTTGGGTGCAGTAATTTGTGAGTCTGCATGTTTTAACCTAAAGGATCTTAAAAAAATACATATTTGAAGCAATATAATAATATTAATGAATTGTTTCAAATAGTCATTTTTGTCTTTTACTGCTGTCTTTTTGCTGGGTTTTGTTTGTGCATAGACCTCCACACTAGAGCTTTGAGTAAGAATATATTTTCATCATTGTTTAAGATAAAACTAAATGTTTAAATTAACCATTTGCAGTAATTTCTAATAAAAAACAAATATTCCTTCTGATTAAGTTTTACATTTATGTTTCAGTTATAATATATTACACTGTAAAAAATGAAACATAATTAGGTACATTTTCTTTTTAACAAAAATAAAAACTCATTATCCTATTTCAGGTGTCTAATAACTAATTATCTTACTTTAAGGGGAAATATACTCAATCCATTGGCAGATCATCTTTAATTTCAAGATTTATTTCCTTATTTTTCCTCAATTTTTGCAGTGTGGAAATAATTAGTCACTTTGGTTTTTACAAATTCTTTATTTTTGTTGGTAAAACTTTATTTTGTCATTGCTCACATCATAATCAGTGGTACCAACAACAACCACACCATGAAAAAAGCATTAAAAGAGTTAAAAGTGTAAGAATATGATTAATAGATAGGATAATATTATGTACAAGTGTGTATTTTGTTATTTTTTTGAAAATAAAAGGAGTAAGGAAAGTGGATGGAAAGCAATGTAAAAGCTAAATTGTTTTAGGACAGAATCTGGGGGAACAAACTGTCTCTGTTTTGGCTCTTTTTTTCCCCATTAGGACTGCATAGTTCTTCCCTGAAGGTAAAAGTCTGAACAGCTGACCAGAATGTGTAGGATCAGCAGAGATAAAAGTTACGGTCAGTCCTGATGACCCTCTCTAAAGACCTTATCATGCAGGACCTGTCCTGTTTTGTTATTTTAACCAAGCTATGTATGCAAAACAGACTGAAGGGTTGTAGTGTAGAAGATGATTTTTGGGAGTCACAAACTAATTGCTTTGCATATATTTTCTTTAGGCTTCAAGTTAGTAGGAAAAATGGAAAATCCAAACTCTATTGCACTTGATAAGAATATTGATGGCTCTCCTTGCATTTTGAGTTTAGCTATTTTTCTTAAGTTCTTATTAAGAACATAAAGCCATACAGATCCTTTATTGCCTCTTCAGTTTGGCGGTGTGGACTCTTTTTCCAAAAGCTGGTATTCTGACACCAGAATAGAATAATTTCTAAGTGCAAACAGCTACTTAGCACCTCCCAAACAAACTGGGTTGGAAAAAGTCTGAAAAACACAATTCAAACCTCTTTCTAGTACATAAACCAAAGGCAGGGTGCAATTTGGAGGTGTGTGCTCTTACTTCTGTACTAAAGGCAGGGTGAAATATGGAGGTGTGTGCTCTTACTTCTGTACTAAAGGCAGGGTGAAATATGGAGGTGTGTGCTCTTACTTCTGTACTAAAGGTAGGGTACAATTTGGAGGTGTGTGCTCTTACTTCTGTACTAAAGGTAGGGTACAATTTGGAGGTGTGTGCTCTTACTTCTGTAATAAAGGTAGGGTACAATTTGGAGGTGTGGGCTCTTACTTCTGTACTAAAGGCAGGGTGCAATATGGAGGTGTGTGCTCTTACTTCTGTTCTAAAGGTAGGGTGCAATAGGGAGGTGTGTGCTCTTACTTCTGTTCTAAAGGTAGGGTGCAATTTAGAGGTTTGTGTTCTTACTTCTGTACTAAAGGCAAGGTGCAATGTGGAGGTGTGTGCTCTTACTTCTGTACTAAAGGCAGGGTGCAATATGGAAGTGTGTGCTCTTCTGTCCTAAAGGCAGGGTGAAATATGGAGATGTGTGCTCTTACTTCTGTACTAAAGGTAGGGTGCAATTTGGAGATGTGTGCTCTTACTTCTGTACTAAAGGCAGGGTGCAATAGGGAGGTGTGTGCTCTTACTTCTGTTCTAAAGGTAGGGTGCAATTTAGAGGTTTTTGTTCTGACTTCTGTACTAAAGGCAGGGTGCAATTTGGAGGTGTGTGCTCTTACTTCTGTTCTAAAGGTAGGGTGCAATAGGGAGGTGTGTGCTCTTACTTCTGTTCTAAAGGTAGGGTGCAATTTGGAGGTGTGGGCTCTTACTTCTGTTCTAAAGGTAGGGTGCAATTTGGAGGTGTGTGCTATTCCTTCTGTACTAAAGGCAGGGTGCAATATGGAGGTGTGTGCTCTTACTTCCTTTACATTAATTTACATTAATTTGCACTTTTAGTGCAATATGGAGGTGTGTGCTCTTCTATTTACTTTACATTAATTTACATTAATTTGCACTTTTATCTTGTCACAACATAAATGCGTCCTGTTGATCCTTTTCGCCTTTATCCTGGACATCTAACACTTTCCCCTAAGGAATATACTTTCTAATTTAAACTTCACCACAAACTAGTTTTTTAAATGTTTTTAGTTGAAATATAAACTGCTATTATTTTGTATTATTGACCCACATTTTCAGATGAGACATTTTAATCTTGCAGCCCGTGTTGTCTTAGATCTCAACCTGCAGTGAAGAATCATTATTCTTCTCCAAGCTGATGTTTTAGCTAAATATGTGTAAACCTGTGAAGATGCACCCTAACGCGCTGCATCTTCATATCAGAAACAAAGGAGGACATGTCGAACATTAGGCGCTCGTCCTATTCTGCCTTCTTGCTTCTTTAAAATTGATGAGATGTGTGAGGGGAAAGGGCTGCCATAAAGCAAACAGTGAACCTCCTTGTTGTCGCTGCCCTCCATCTGTCTGCATCATGTCGCTCTGCAGCCTGAGGAGCAGCTGCTCTCCACTCTCAGAGATTAAAAAAAAACAAAAAAGAGTTTTCTCTTACGTAAAGATGAGAGCCAGAACACTCTCTACTTTCAGCATCCGTGCCCACAGTGCGGGGGGTGGGGTTGGTGCTGGGGGGGCGTCATCTTATAGGGGTCAGCAGCCTCCTGCTGGGCATCAGACGTTTGGGTTTATGGTTCTTGGATCCTTATGGCCTCCTTTTCCTTCTAATCAGCTTCTGGCTCTGAGCTGCGTGGCTGAACACGGAGCGGCTAACAGCTGCTTTAGAAATAAATGCCAGGCCTGTGAACGTAACTTTTTTACCTGCTGTTCAAAATGACACAGCACAATCAAGAGGCTACAGAGGTACTCATCTAAAGAGAACCAAACAGATAGACAACAAACCCCAAACTGACAAAAATAACTACTATGTTCTACTATTATTCAGCTGCTCAGACACACTGCTCCTGCTGCTCTAAACGCGCTGCGGGACGTTTTTTTGCTGCGCCTTGATGCGCGTCAACCACTGACTTTGCATGTAACCTAGCTGCTCCTGCTGCCTTTGCTGCTTTATGTGTGAACGTAGCATAAGAGCAGTGCGCTTGTGCTCTGAGAAGGTTGCAAGTACCTGGTTGGATCCACTCTGGGTTCCTGAGCAAAAAGACCCTTAACCCCAGACTGCTCCCCGGATGCTGTAAAATGGCAGCCACTGCTCCTCAAGGGGATGGCTGAAATGCAGAGAGTGAATTTTCCCATTGTTAGACAATAAAGGGATTTACAATTTTTTATTTTTTTTTTTCATTTACTTTCAACCACTAGCCTTCACTCACTACCTAAACACCCTGGAATCAAAGTCTCAATGGCTTTGATTCCAAAAAGATAAAATAGAAGATAATGAATACTATTAAGAGGTTTTTAGGTAATTTTCAAAAAAGCGG